TTCGAAACCTGACTAGACCAGTTCTACGAGGTATAGCACAGTTGCAGAACCATCAACAAACTATCTTATAACTATAGATAAACCTCTCCAGTATTTAATTTTAATTAATATCACTAAATTTTTTTACTCTATTATATTTAATTTTATTTAAGTTATTTTTTTTTAGTTTTAACATTTATTTATTCATCCTTTTATCTTATATCAATTTAAATTTTTTTATATATTTTATTTAATTTTATTTTATTTTATTTTAGTTTTTAAAATTAATTTAATTTTATTTTTTTTTATTTTATTTAATTTTATTTTTTTTATTTTATTTTACTTTATTTTATTTTATTTTATTTTATTTTATTTTATTTTATTTTATTTTATTTTATTTTATTTTATTTTATTTTATTTTATTTTATTTTATTTTATTTTATTTGTTTATTTTAGTATTTATTTTATTTTATTTGTTTATTTTAGTATTTATTTTATTTAATCTTTTTTATTTTGTTTTATTTATTTATTTTATTATTTTTTTATTTAATCTTTCTTCGTTTTATTTTATTTAATTTTTTTATTTGATCTTTTAGTTATTTTTTTTTTTTTATTTTTTATTTTTTTTATTATTTAAATCGTACATAAATATCTTAATAAAATTCGAAGGATTTGCGGTATAAGAGAAGACGTCGTATCTGCTCTGTCCTAAATATTTTCAGTCATATTTGTACTACAAAAGTCGCTTATTAACGTTTCCCTGGGGTTTAATTAGCAAAACACGGTATTAAGTGTTAATTTGTTATGGTAATGAGCCGCTATATGTAACTGCATTTAAGTATGTAGACGGAAAGAAGCTAATAGCATTCGTAAAGCTTTGCTTTGGTCAACAAATTTTTAAAGGTTACGGAAACAATACAATGTAATATACGCTAATGCTTATTATGCAGTTCATGAAATTCGGCACTAGCTTGGGGGCTTACACTTCAATTAAAGTTTCGGTTAATTAGAGGACTCGATTGACCCTTGGCTATGTGTTTATAAGTAATGCTGGGTATGCGTGTAAGAGGGCAGATGAGATATTTGCATTGTTGTCTTCAAATAATTAAAGCTATTTGCTTGCCTTAAGGGACTGAATAGGGTTTTCTGTCATGATATAAACCGGAAGAAGGATTGCACATATCTATATAAAAAAAGTTAATAAATTGGACCTTCAGCGTGCCTCGTGAATTAAGACATTGCATACATTCAGGCGTTAAAATTTAACAAAAAGTTTGCAACGAAAAATTTAATATATTAAAAATAATATTTTTTTATTGATTCACAATAATGTTGAATCCAAAAGTAGTCGCTGATGTTAGAAAATTTTAATAGAAAATCTTTTTTCTATTTTTATTCAAACAAAATAATTGCTTTCAAATAAATTTTCATTTCTGTGGAAATTCACAAAAAGAACAACTGGTTCTTCATTTCAATTAAAGATTTAAATTCAACTCGAAATTTAAAATTCAAAACATTTCGCAGTTTTTTGTCAAAAGTATTACTATTTTTAATAAGGGTTCACCAAAATTTCAAATTTATTTTTTAAATTGAAAAAAGTAATAAATAACAATCGCAAAAAAAATTATAATGAATCATTAGCAACTAGGTCATAGGCTTACAATTTCATAACAGTGTGATGCACTACAAGTTTCAATAAGATTCGTAATTAAGCATGTGTCAAAACTCTTCAGTCAAATGTTTTACCCTGCAAATTGTTTTTTCTCAGCATATATATCTGATTTATTATTTTGTTTTGTTTAATAATTTTTCACACTAATTAAAAATATTGTCATACGATTAGGATTAAAAAATAATAATAACAAAAATATACATACAAAACATAATGAATAAATGATTTGCTAACCACATGCTCTATTTCCAAAGGTTTTTTTTTTTTTTTTGGTTTTTAACTAAAATTATCAGTTTTGTTATTTTATTGCAGTTTTGTTTAATTTAAATATTATTTCCCTAATATATACATACATACAAATGTATATATAGAGTACTTTTCAGACGATTAAGCACGCGCAAATATATTATAATTTACAAATTGTTCCTAACAATGTCATTTGTGTTTTTTTTTTTTTTTTTTTCTCATTTTACAGTAATTTTTTTGTTTTTGGCAATTGAAGTGAAAATTTGTGTTAAAATTGCTTTATTTTTTTAAAATAGAGCAAATAATTAATAACTGTTTTTAAACTAAAATATAAAATTATATTGAACATATTTCAAGTGGCGCTCAAACTGTACGCTACAATTAAGTTTGTGGCTTTTTAACAAAATTGTTCAAGCAATTAATCATACATTTATTCTGAAATTAGACTTCACCTTTAAGTTCATTCCGCAATTATGTAAGAACGGAAAATCATTAATATTAAACAAAATTAGTAAAGTCAAACAAAAAGTAATGAAATTCGTGAAATAAAAGCTTAAAATAAACTAAATATAAATTAAACAAGCTAAAATGAAAGCATAAAATGCTTATATTTAATCAAATAAACTTAAAATATGAAAAATTAAATCAAATCAAATGAAAAAAATTAAATTATAATAAACCAAAAAGTAATTAATAAAAGCAAAATAAATTGTTTAGAATAAACAAATAAAATTAAAAATTAAAACAAGTATAAAGTTAATACTATATATAAGTAAATAAAGCAAAACATATAAACAAACTAAATTTAATAATATCTGAGAAAATTTGTAGTATAAAATAAAACAAATAAGCTTTAACTAAGATCAAGGAAATAATTTATAACAATTGCGAATATAATACAAAATAAAGCAAATAATTTAATAGAAAAATTGGCATAAATTAAAATTAAGTACAATGTAGTAAAATAAAATGTAATGAACTGACAAACATAAGATATCGAAGGAATTAAAATAACTGAACTTCAAAAAAATTAAAAAAAAAAATTGAAAAAACGATATATATAAAAATGCTTAGTGTAGCAAAATAATAAAGCACCCATAATTACTACATAAATCAAATTAAGTAAGAAGTTAAAAGTGATAAAAATTAATTTAATTTAATTAAATTTAATAAAACGCAATAAAACAATGTAAATAATATTGTATATTATATATAAATATATAAAAAACAAGAATAAAATAAAAATATTAAATAAATTAAGACAATATAAAAAATGTAAAACAGTACAAAATATGAAAACTTAAAATTACTGAAATATAATTAAATTAACTTAAATTAATTTAAATAAAAATTGAAATGAAATACAATAGAATAGACTAAAATGAAATATACGTGCAATTGGTAAAGAGCCGAGCTCCTCCCCCAATTGTGGTTTTGTGTCTTTAGGTTTTTCCATCGAATGAAGAGACCTACAGTTTATACTAAGCCGTCTCAGAACGGTTGATGGTTTTCTATGAAAAGCCAAAATTTCAGGTCAGAGATACACTCAGAGTGGTAGTGGAGGGTTGGCATTTGCTGCCGAGCGGTGACCGCAATTAGAAAAATTAGCTTAATTTTTTATATAAATAAATTTGCTATAATTTTTTGATGATGATCGAACTAGAATTCGAACACTTACCTTCCGTCAGCGCAATAATAATAGCTTAAAGCAGAATTAAATTCAATTAAATGAAGTAATTAATGATACAATAATTAAGCTGACATTAAATCAATTTAAATTTGATTTAAATAAATAGAATAAAATAAAAAACTCAAATACAGTAAATTTAAAAAGGACAAAATTGGATTTCATAATACTATTATTTTTAAATGAAATAAAATAAATTAATTTAAAAATGAAAAAAATAAAAATGTTATACAAAAACAAATATTACATATTCAATAAAACAAAAATAAATCGCATTTAAAGAAAACTGCATTACTCCAAAAATCTTAATTTTAAAATTTTTAAGCATTTTTTTATTGAAATTTATGATTCAATTTTTTCCTCTGGTTGTAAGCTATTGCGAATTCTGTATTGAATTTTTTGTTTTTATATGGAATCCTCGTAACCAAAACAGTGCAATTTTTGTAAGTAATCACAATAAGCTTCTATCCTTTAGAGTATTTTATGCCTGTAATTTTTAATCATTTATGTGTAAGTTCATACATTTTAGCTACTTAACAAATGTAAGCCTTCAGTGCAAAGACAAGATCCATCGTTACACAGTTATAAAGATGAAAAATGATACAAAAACTAAGTTCGACCTAATTTTTACCACCAAAATTAAATTTCTAATTTTAACACATTTATTTACACCACGAAAATGGAGTGGAAAACTCTCGCATGCTCGCTCACACTGAGCCTACAGCCACGCTTGCTCTAACAAAAATTGTCAAATTGACGTTGTTGTGTTATACACCGTTTTGATAAGTCCCAAACAAGACAAAAACTACACAGTCACTTGGATTACCTTCACATGGCCGGTAGAAAAAATGGCAATGTACATAACATATTTTATTTACAATATTTTTTTTTTTTAATAGGCAACTCAAATAAAGTTTGTTTCAAATATTCTTTTTACTCGAATTTATGTAAAAAAAAAAATATTTTATTCATTTATATTGAATTAATATTTGATAGTTAGTTAGTTTATGTGTCTATAATTTATATGGATTATTGTTTAAAATCTTCTAACTACCAGTAAGAAAGAGTAGGTCTTCCTTTCAATAATTCAATAAATTTTACTTACGCATTTTTTGTGGTTAATTACGCAATATTCCGGAATTAGAGATATTTCAGTAACATAAATATATAAAGAAAAAATAAATTTTTATTTAAATTAAATCTTTGAATTTTTTTCATTCCAACAGGGTTGTTAGGGCAAACTGCATATTGGAAGCAAATTCCAAAACTGCATACTTTCTTCCAAGTATTTAGTGTTGTTTGGAATTGCCTCTCTCAATATACGGACAAAAATGTTTCAACTCTATTTGTATATATGTACATATATATATACACAAATTTAGACATATGTATATAAACATGTAGCGTTTTTTCGTCACCAACAACTGTCACCTCACCCAAGCGGCAGATGTGTTCAAATCGCTTTTTGTTATGTACACCCATTTAGCTTCGTCTTAAGATGTTTATTGTAAATTTTGTGTTTAATTAAATAGTGCAGTTTTCAAAAACAATTTAAGGCACATTATTAATTTTAACCATGGACGAAAGAATTCGAGTATATGAAGATGATTTCGGACGTTTGAGAGATGAGAGAGGGCGTGTTTGTAGAAAAATACGTCGGGTGACTATAGTGAACCTAGAAACCTGTATGATTGTTCAGGTAAGTGATTATTATTGTTGTTTTTATAGGCAGCTTGTATGGAAAGTTTTTTGACAATACCATTAGGAATATATATACAGACATGTATGCAGACATATATTGTAGACGTAACATTGGTTGACTTGTGCTGATTCACCTTGTTTATTACTGTTTTGTTAAATAAAAAATTCCAATTTTCATTTGTCTAAAATAATATACCGTTTTGATTTGTGTATCCATACAGAAGTGGCTACAAATATAAGGAAGTACGTTTAAAAATACGTATATGCTTATAAATAACGTTGCTTTGAATTAAATTTTTATACTTTACTAATAATTGAAAAAAGCTAATGTATTTTTTAATACCTATGTTTGAGCCTATAAAAAATTATATTGCCAAGAATTTTTTTCCTTTTTTTTAATGTTCATCGACCGGATGAAACATTCTCTTCGCCCATAGGTTCTATGTTAGTCGCGACAGATTAATCTACGCTCCAAAAAAGAAGCAATAACCTTTCTTTAAATTCCATTCGCTCTCAAAAAATATTGCAGATCTTCCTATTTCATGGCTGCTTTTGCTTCAACCAAATTGAAAGGAATGTAAAATGAAAATGTCGTCTCAAAAATCTTAATCTAGGCAGTATTAGTGAGTTGCAGACATGAAAATAATTACATACATACATACAACTATTAGCGAGCATAATCTTAACAGGAAAAGCGAGCAGCTCTCGTAAACTTGAACCCTGAACAAGCTTAACCTTACAGTTTTTTATTTTCTCCCCATTAACTGAGTTGACACAAGATTCACTTGTTCAAGACCAGATCGTCTGTAAAAAAAAAGAACTTCAGCCATATCAGTAAATAATGAGAAGAAATTATCTATTCCCAGAAATATAATATTTCACTTTTGTAACCACAAACAATTTTGCTTGGCATAGAACCCAGAGATGTGATTTTTTTTGTTGAAAATCGCTCTCTTCTGTGAGTAATACCCGATTCCGCAGTATAATTTTAGAATTTTGCTTTTTCTGTTACTTCGCCATTAATTTTCCGTAACGTGTCGGTGATTGCCTAAAACACCACCCATTGTCATCTAACGAAAGAATGACAGCAGCGAAAACAAACTTACTTCGCATTACCTCGGATAATGACTATAGTTCATGGAGATTCTGATAGGAACGAGCTTCTCTGGCACTCAGAGTGCGTCGTACGACTGATTTGCGATGACTTTCCTAATGATATATTTTTCCATTTCCGAATTTCGTATGAATTTTTAGTAGAAATTTTTTATGTTATGTCAGATATATAAACGCAGGGGCTAATATTTCCAATCGTACAGTAATTCAGTGTAAATTGAGTTACTCAGTTCAGCTGTTTCTCGATATGATATTAAATAAGAAATTTACTACTTGACTGGTAGCAGTTCATTCATTCAACTTGTTGTCATATCAACAGATGTTTCACTTAAATCTATCACAACAGCAATATTTTTTTATTTTGATTTCATGTATTCGAAATGTCATTCAAAGCCTTCACAGTGAACGTTTATCGCACAACCCAAAATATCCACATGCTGAAATATATTAATAAGAAATATTTACCTACTAATATAAGTATAAATAAACGACCCAACTGTTTAGCACATGTGTATGTAGTTGTAAGGGTAGAAGAAAATTAACATGTTTGAGCCCCAGCAATTTCATGCAAACATTTATTGGACAATTGAGTCGAAGAAGCACATGTAAACAATAGCAGTAAGACCATAAAGCTGTAACCAATAAACCAAACGACTGTCCAACACACGGAATGGCCACCCAACTACCTAAGCCGCATTTAACTGCCGCCTGTCGAAGTAGTTAAAAGAGACATAACACAAAATGTCATTTCCGTATCACGAATAGCCATTATCACCATTACCAATGGCGGCCCCTTCTCGATTTTCTACTTTTTTTTTTGTTGGCGAATACCAGCTATCAATGGCAAACAAAGAGCCGAAGACAGGCAGAAGACATCAGCAACCCTTTCTGCCCATCTACCTCAACCCAAAATGTGAGCAAGGCAACACTCCTAACGGCCGGCCTTCACGCTTTGACTTAAGTCAATAATTTTGTCATGCAATAAAATGCCAAGGAAACCATTCTAACCACATGGCTGAGACAATGGCTGCGGCTGCTGTCGCCAACCACATTCAATCTGCATTGACATTAATGTGTGTGTGGGTATGTATGGGTAGGGTACAATGACCTCTTAATAACAGTGACAATTTAGGCGTGTTAAGAGAGATGTTAAAACGGTTTTCGAAAAAGTGACAATGTTGTACTAAATACATATATATGTACATAAGTATATCCATGTACATACATAGATACGTATAGCTAGTAACTGTTGACCGTTTTGGGTGGCGAATTTTAAATTGAAAAAGAGTTTCTTTGCTATGCTGATGCGGTATGTGAGAAATTGGCAATGTGAGTATTTGACATTATTAGTAGGGTTAATCGGCTAAGGTAACCCAAAAAAGGGAGATTTAAATTTTGCAAGCACTTTACGCAAACAATCACACATTCATGCACGTGCATGCGAAAAAAGGAAATCGGTTTAAGACTCACAGTAACTTTGCGAAATCAATATTGAAAAAATGTGAAAAATAATTGGGCAAGAAGGGTGAAAAATCCATTGGCAGAAGACATTTACAATTATCGAGCTAAACTTTTTTTCTTTTTTGTGAAAAGCTTTACAGCTATCGATAATAATGGCGGTGAAGACAGCAATGGGTAAGGACGATTTACAATCAACAACAATAAGAGAGATGAAAAAATATATGGACGATGAAAATATTGGAGGATCAATTTCAGCATAATAACGGTCAAATTTACGCTTAACTGCTGGCGAGAAAAACATGCACTGCAAAAAAAATTTTATGAGTTTGCTGTTTAAAAACATATATGTATATAAATAGGAATAGGGGGAAAATATGAACTGAATAGCTAATAAATTTTGAAAAAAAATTTTTCTTTTTTTTATTTTGAAAATTTGAACTAAATCGGTCCGGTTCGCCAGTTTGGTTAGACATTGAAAAAAAAATATGCTTCTTTTATATTGAAATTTCGCTTTATTTATTTTTTTAAATAAGACTTTTAGCAGTCGGATAAAATTTTCACTTCTTTTTTTTTCGAAGTGTAAAATCTTAAAATCCTTCACAACAGTAATCCTCGAAAAGCTCGAATAATTCTGTAAGCAAACGAACATTTCTTCTTACAATCAGGCGTAGGTACATACGTGTATATAAACAAAATACTCCAACTGCACCAAACAGCCAACAAAGAGGCAGGCAGATTGGCACGTGCAGCTCTGAAGCATTTCAATCCAACCAACAAGTAGTGCCGTCACTCTTAAGCTGGACACAGCCGAAATGGTCAACTTCCGTTGAATTTCGTATGAGTAACGGCCGCTTTTTCTTAAGTCTCCTCAGGAAATTCACAACATTTATCCCCAATGTATCCGATGATAGCGTACAAGTAGGCATTGCATTGGAGCATTAAGAAGAATAAGGAAAGTAAGCCTCTGGACACAAGTAGTTATTTGGTAAAGAGGAAACGAGTTGGATAAATTACGCAACATTCTTGGCCAAATGTGGCATAAAAATTAAAATAAAGTACAGTATCTTGTATATATATTTATGTATATATAGGAGTGACTTAAAGTATATTTCCTACGTTATTACAAAATTTCTTATGGTCAATTTCTTTTTGTATTTCCAAGTCTTTCTCTTTTTAAGCATTTCCCAATATTTAATTTATAAGTAGAAACTAATTTAATTCGATTTTTTGATTTACATTAATAATTTTTCTTTTCGCATATCATCTTATACACCATGCTTTCCTACTTTGGATTTACTGCTGTATAATATGAAAATGGGTAATTTTAAGGTTATGACATATGGAGCATCTATCCTATCTATACAAGTGCCAGATAAAAGGATCCATGTTAAAGAACTTGCCGCCGGTTTTGATACATCGTATGGTATGTAAATTATATGCATATACAATAATAATACATTAGGTCAAGTAAAAAGTTCGTTCGGTTTTTATCTAAGAGATGGTGTTATTGTCCATAGTACTAGTGTTACGTGTCGCATCATGTCATAGTATACGGCACAGTAGTAGCTGTTCCCTTATGGCCAAATACTCGATTCGGCCCTCTACTACCAACAGCTTGAAAGCAGCACTCGTTCAGAAGAGGTCATCTTTGATTAACAAAGGCCAAATTGTTTTCCATCAGGACGACGGCAGGCCGCACACGTCTTTGTCGGGACCGGCACCAAGTGATTACCATATTTTCCTGTCTATGGCGAACGCTCTCAATGGTGAGAAGTTGGCTTCAAGAGAGGCCTGTGAAAGTTGGCTCTCCGAGTTGTTTGCCAATAGGGACGCAGCTTTCTACGAAAGGGGTATATTGGCAACAAGTTTACGAACAAAACTTCGCATATTTGACTTAAATGGGGCAAATGTACAAAAAGTTATCATAAAAAAAACCGAACCGAAACCGAAACCGAAAACCGATCTTTTTACTTAGCCTAATATTTACATATTTATCGTGATATTAATTTTTTAATTTTTGTGTATTTTCATAAACGAGTTCAATGTGATAAAAAAAATGTATCTGCTTTCCTTTCAACTGATAACATACAAATATGAGTGTAAAACAATTTTTTTTTATATATTGAGAGGATTTAGGGGGGGCCAGGATTTCTTCCTGGATTTGAATTCTCGTCAAGCAAAACGCTCCTCGAAATATACAAATAATTTTCTTTAAGCCAAGTTACTGTTCATGGAAATATACAAGTGAAAGATTTCAAATATGTCAAAAGTAATCCATTATTTTTGCAATAAATGGCAGGTCGGTTTCTATAAGTGTGATTGATTCTACAATTTTTCTTCTAAGTAGGCGGAAAAGGTAAGTCGGACATCTTAATATTTATGGTTCCGAAACAGTAACAGTCAATCATGCACAATTTTGGCTTCGTTGGTTTCGTTGCGCCAATTTCGATGTGAAAGATGTTCCACAGTGGGCAGGCCAATTGTAGAAAATGGCAATAAAATAATATGGTTTGTCGAGTCCGTCATCATACGAGCACTGTTTCGTTTGCTTAGGAACAAAACAAGCAGCTTAGCACCATTTTAGAAAGACAAAGAAAGTAGATGTATGTGTACCACACGTGTAGATGGTGACTGGTGATATGAGAGGGATCACTTGTAGCAACGCCAGGCGAAAATGATACTGGTCGAAGGACAGTGGGCTGAGTCAGCGGTATCCAAACCAGGATTGACGACTAGAAAAGTTTCACCGCATGTTTGATGCGATTGCTATGAGCTGCTTGTCTACGCTCGTCCGTCTGAAGGAAACAATCACTCAGTAGCGTCCAGCTTTGGCCAACACGAGGGGAATTGTGTTTCATCAGTACAAACGCCAGATCACACACATCGTTAGTGAATCGAGAGAAAAATCAAGGGATTGGTTGAGAGGTTCTTGTGCCGGATTTTGATTACCATCTGGTCCTGTCTGTGGTGAATGATTTGGCTGGTGAAGCCTGTAAAAATTGATTGGTCCAATTTTTCGCCAATAGAACAAGGACTTCTATGAGAAAAAGAAAAATAAATAAAGTTTCCAGAAAAAAACTTACTCACAGAGATTTTCAGCGTTTACACCTTGTCTGAAACCTCGTTTAGTTTCGAGTGGCTTGGCTTTTCCTTATCCTCAGTTTAAATAGGCGCAAAAGCTTCGCAAAGATATCGGATTTTGACAAAGCAGCTTACTGGCAGCCAAAAGATCTCTTTGCACGTGACTGCGAAAGTTGCCTCATTCCTTTGTAAGTTTTTCAGCATTTTCTCTGTTCGTCACTTTCTCAAGCTCATCAGACCTACGCATTTTGGCCGCTCGGCTTTTCTGTCTGCAAATCTATCTTACCTCAAACGTTTCGTGGCCGATCGCAACCTTGCAAAGTAGGCAGGACAATCTGTATTCTCTTTTTTTCTGACATGACCATTATCATCATGAGGGCTCTACTTTTAACATTGCCGAAAACCAATTGTTTATGTAGCAATAGTTCGTAGGGACCTTAAAATACTATCCCACAGTTTTCATATGCCGAGCTTCTGGGGAGCGCAGGTCGTGTAGAAAACTAACTGGTCGTGTGCTATGATTGCAGCATTTCGATGTCAAGACTTTCTTGTGATTTATGAAGACATTTCTATGCTGCGACAGGATAGTGAACCGAACCAAAGTCTCTAAGCTTCCTCATTGAGTTTGAATTTCCCAACTATTGTACCGAAGATACCTTCTTTGCCAATTGTGAAGAGAGAAGAGCCTTTAGATACGATATACGCCATCATGGGTAGAATATTTGGTCCCATCGTCCTTCTCTTCCATCGAGGAGACATCTGAGAATTTACTTTAGGTTTTTCATTTGTTGAAAAACAGCAAAACGCATATCACAAAATAATGCAAGATCTCGGCCGAAAATCTTTAATTATAATAATCTAGGCTTGGGACACATATGTGTGGTTCACTTTTGGTTGAGCGCAATAAAGGGCAGCGACTACTTAGCGTCCTAATTTCAGAACCATTGGTGAAGATATATCAAAGCATTATCTAAACTATTTGCGTCATCTGTCTGTCTCTATCGGAGCTTTTAGAAATTTCATGAGAATCAGGTACAGGACAACAGAAACAAGAACCGGAAACTAAATACTTTTCTCAGGTAACCTTAAGGTAGTAGTCTCCTTAAGAGCCCGAGAAAAGCTCTCCTTAAGCTTCAAAAATCAATTTTTAGTATCAAAAAGTATTGGAATTTTCCAATGCTGTGATGAGTTTTCTGATGCGATTGCAGTCTGAACTCGTGAAACGGTGCTGGTGATGGAGGTCGTGCGATGCATCTGAAACAGTAGAGCCATTTTTTTTAAAGTCTTTTGAGTGTATCTTCTGAATGAGCTTTTTTCCATCACCGGCACACTTTTCTAAAACTCTTAAAAATGAGAACTGGAGAAAACGCGCTTCAAAGTTCTACCCGAGCATTCGAAACTACTCGAAGCTCCTCCACTAAAACTACGCCAGCTGCTAAACTATATCGAATTGGACCCTGAATTTTGAGGGATAGTTTTAAAATAGATTTAAGAAAATAATGCATTTTCTGAAGCCTCTAAAGCAGACTATTGCCTCAACAGCTAAATGTTTAGAACGATCCTTACATATTTACATACTCCCTGTTCTGCTACCTTTTGCCTTTCCTCTGCCATATTTTTAAAGTCCGCTTCATTGTTTTGACAACCGATTAAATTTCATTCTGTAGAATATTCTAGAGTTTTAACAACCAACAGACAAATGCAGCTCAAAAGAGAAATGAATAAAGCAGAGGTGTCAGTATTAGTTACTGTCGGGCATATTTCGAGCAAACAAATACATATGCGCACATGTACATATGTTGACATATGTGTCACAAACACATTTTTTAATACACACACTTACTTACGTGTAGCACATTTCCCTTTAACAACGTGGCAAATTTCATACTGACACTATGATAGCCGGACGAACAGACAAACAATAGCTAAAAGCAGCTTAAACAATACGCAGATGGCGGCTGCTCGGAGGGCAGAGTGGAATGACAGCGGATACACTTGGTGGAAGACCGGAAAAAATAGAATGTAGCGTCCACATAAGCAGCCGGAAGTGCCGGATGCACACAAAATACTCCTGCCATCTGGAGTGGTCAGCTAAATCCACGTCTGTTCGTATGCGCATGCAGCTGTCTGTTCGCCTGTAAGTCTTTTTTTTCTTTTTGTTTCTCCCGTTCCAAAATTTGACATATTTTTTGTGCTTGCTTTCTCTCTCTCCTCTCTATTTTGTTTGGCTTGCGCATATTCACCCTCCCTTGCACTCGTTGAGGGCCAATTTGGTGTTACCACTTGTAACGCTTCGAGGGTAACAAATTTCCCACTTAAGCGGAACTGACGCTTTGCGGCAGCGTAACGGAAGACCAAAGCACAAAAATCGCAATTCACACCCGGCAAAAAGAACAAGAAGAAGAGCTAGCACAAGAGAGCAACTGTAATGGTGGTCATAAAATGAATAAAAATACAACAATAACAATAGCAAAATTAGACAGTGGCTACACTCAACAGCGTCTGACCTCAACAAAAATGCGACTTGTCTGTGCGTCTATCGCCAAGCCGGGGTCATCATGCATGGCTGATGCTGCCGTTTGTAACCAAGCGCGCTCGTGTGTGCGGCGTGAGTGTGCAGTGGTCGTTGCACTAAGCCACCGAGCTCCACATTTTTGGTCACTTCATATGCGCATTTGACGCTAATACGTTGGTAACGAGGAAGAAGCAACGTTAGTGGCCGGCACTCACTCATATAAATATACATATTTATCTATACATACATACAAATATGCGCACATATTTTAAAATTGTAAATTTTTTTATTAGCTTAAGGTGCAGTAGCTCGGGAAAGAAATTCCCCACCACAAAACCGCTGACTGTCGGCGCTTCGCCGGCGGAAAGTGTGGCATCCGAGGTGACGGCGTTTGTCGGCTGGCGAACGATTTTAGTGGCACTTGACAAATGAAATGCTCACTTTCCGTTAGTCCATTGCACGTTCGCTACAAATTATATTAATAATAATAATAACAGTAACAACAAATAGAAAAAAACGTGCTCTGGCATCTAGACACACTTTAGCAGCAGAGTTAGGAGCAAAAAAGCTAGGGTGCGAGTGGCACCCTAATCAGCTTAACATTTCACTGCAATGGCTTAGGTGTTGGCATTTTTTGTCAAAATTTTTTATTTTGTTTTTGATTTTTTAATTTTCATTTTTTGGAAAATTTTAGTAGGCAAACGCTACATCGACTTTTGCCCTTCTCAGGTGAGCACAATATCATAAGATACATATTTATTTTCATCTTCAGTTGAAATATTCATTAGCGCCCTCAAACCGATTGTTAAGGTTTCAACATGAATCACAACCACTCATGCTAATATTGAAACTAATTTTATTCGTTGTTAATCGATAGAGCTTGACTTGAGTAGTGTTTTTTGCTAAGCTACATAATGCACCATTTGCTTTTACTGTCATAGCCGTTCGGAGCCAATTGAAGACCCGAAGTGCAGCTAGGTCCTTCCTCACCTGATCTTTCTAATGAAGTGGAGATCTTCCTCTTGTTCTGCTTCCATCGGTTGGCACTGAGACGAAAACGTTCAATGCTGAAGTATTCTCGCTCAAAGAACTTGATATACAATGTCAAGGTCACCGTATACCTTACACAACATAACCATTGCATTGGCTTTTGTATTCGGCGTTGCCAATGCGAAAAGCTTCATAAATCGTACTTAAAGTTTATCACTCGAAAACTCTACTGTCGACTCATAACTTATTTTATTCATTCGTAGACATTTTTTCTATTGCCTATCACCTCAAATCCTTCCTCTCTCAGCTCTTTCTTAGCTCTCTCTCTCCCTCTCTTTCTCTCTCTCTCTCTCTCTTTTTCTCTCTCTCTCTCTCTCTCTATCACACTCTCTCTCAGCTTTCCTCTCCAACTCACTATGTCTCTACCACACTGTTTACGCTTGAATCGCATAGTTTTGAGATACGTAGTTTTTTCTTACTATTGATAAACAAATTCCTAATCATGATAGCTTTTCATTTGATACTGCCTAGAATCAATTGTTATAATGTTATCTTATATTATAAGCCGTTGACTAATGCTCTCTGAGTGAAGATGTACAAATCGAATGAGAACTATTTGTTGTGATTACTGCAGTTCAATGTCGGGAGTTACCGAATTGCTTTCGGAATTTCGCACGAGCGTGGCACATGTTCCAAGAGAACATTAGGCGAATGGATAACTCAACATAAACATATGTCAACATAAATCTAAATTTGCCATTAATATCGAAAAAAAAAGTTGTAAAATTATTTTCTGTATTATCAATAGAGCGCTCCGTTCTCTGGCGTTCTTTCTAGCCAACCACCAGTGAAAAGTGAAATTTTATCTTTTAACATTTAAATTCTTCTATCATTTCTCTCCACTCTAACTAGAATATCTGTATCAAGGCGATACAACATTTTTCGGCGCTACTATTGGACGCATTGCTGGTCGCCTCCGCAGTGGCTTTCTCAAACACAAGTTCGTGAATTTTTCTTATTATACCACTCAAAATTTCCACGGACACCACTGGAATGGTGGTTATGAAGGTTTTGACAAACAGCACTGGTATATTGATCGGTTACTCCACAATGGCGTCGTTTTCACCCATTCCTCACCAGCTTGGTCGGAAAATCATCCATGTTTATTGCACTGCACTGTCGTCTATAGGCTCAACAGGGACAATACTCTAGATGTTGGTTATTATGCAACAACCTCAATGCCATTCATGATCAATTTAACAAATCACACGTATTTCAATTTAGCCGGTCATGTAAGTAGAAAACGAAGCTAGTTTATGCATGCATTACATACACGTATACATATGTATATTTTATATGCTTGTTTGTATGTATGTGCAGAATAAGGGTCGTCGTGCACTTCTTAATCATGGCGTTACGATAAATAGTAGTTTAGTACTTGATACGAAGGGAGAGTATAAATTGCCCACCGGCTATTTCATACCAGTACAAGACACATTTTTCGACTTTCGTGAAGGAGCTTGTCTACGAGATCGTTTTGGATATTTAGGAGGATTCGATAAATACTGGGTCATAGATCGTGGTATACTCAAGCAGAATATGGTGATTCCAGTGGCCACGTGAGTATTGCGTTGAGTAAAATAAATGTATAATGAATTCTTCTTTTATTTCTTTCTCGTTAGAATCACGCACAAACCAAGTGGCCGCATGTTAAGGGTTTACTCCAATCAACCAACCGTACACTTTTACACCGCCAATGATTTGCCCGCTGATAACGAAGCGACCGGGGTAAGTCATATATTACATATATATATTTGGTTACATACACTCAGTACATACATTTTTTATATAAATTTTTATAAAGCATAAATGTATACTTACTTACTTACATAAATGTATAGCAGAGTAAAAAACCACCGTCATTGAGTTAGTAAACGCGTTTAAAGTACTGAAGGTAGCCTTTACTATTGGCTCACAATTTCATCGTTATTGTTGTAGCGCTGCTGACGGTCCACTCAGCGAACCGATCAACCGAACGTTGTATTGAAGAACAACAAGCAATTAATTGCTTTACCTGATTGAAGTGGCAAAACTTTAAGATTCGCTCGATTCAGTGAACATGAAGAACTACAATACAAACATTGCAGTTTAACTAAAAAATCTTTCATTTGGATTGGGGTTATTAGCTTGCGTTCAAAGCAAACGCCATAAACTATGTTGGGCTTGCTCCTACAGAGTAGTGAAGGGGCGCAAGTAAGCAAAATTGCTGTTGTTTGGCAGATCGAAAGAGCGGTGGCTCTAAGGTAGATTATTGGTTTTAAGGTAGATTATTCTCAAATGATTTACTCATACTTACATACACGCGAAATACCCACAGCCTTTTAGCGTTTATTAACAAAATACTTTAACTCTTTATAGCAAAATTCTGCAAAATGTATAGAAAAAAAACAATTTAAAAAAATATTATTATATATTAATTTAGCATACTTTTTGAATTCCACTTACCAAAACTGAATTTATGCCAGGGATAAGTTGGCAAAATATTCGCTTTGCAATTCTGCGGTTAAAACGACATTTGGGGAACTCGCAACCATTTTCATTTAACGATATTACGAGTCAGCATTATATATCTGTTCTGCTGGGAATACAATTTTGGGTATAAAATATTTTCAGTTCGAAATCAATTCAAAACTCTGTATTTTGTATATTCTAAATTCAACGAATGAACTACGGTTTCCTATTGTAATTAAGTTGTGCATCAAAATTAAGTATAATAACATCTATTCCAAGGTAACAAAAATATTGTATCTCAAGAAATTAATATACAGAAAAGACAACTTCAATATTGCTTACGATATTTATAATAAAGATTTAGTTTACGCCTAGAAAATCACAAATTTTCATAAAACTTGAATTTGAAAAAACTTGTTTTTATTAAACCAGAATATTTTTGCATAAAATTTCGTTTTCTGAACGCTCTTATTACATAGATTTTATGTCAGTCTAAATAAAAGTCAAGTATTTGTTTGGAAATGACAATGTAGTCCCCTTTCCTTGTCAATACTTAAATATTATAACCAAACTCCCGCTCCGCGTCTGTCGGTCTGTTCACGATAAACTCAAAAACAATTTGCCGGACTTTCATGCAGTTCTCGCCAGCATATGACGGGATTTCTCAAAGAGGTTTTCGTGAGTGACTTGTCAAATTTTATGTACTTTTTTTGTACAAATTTGTTATATACCTATTTAAGTTTTATGTCTTGGGTGTTTATAACGCCTTAATTCAAAAGTTCGGTTTTTATGATTTTTTTCCATCCACCTTACTGAGACTCTTATCGCAATTTTAAACCATAATCACCACAATGGCTGGTGAAAAGTGAATTCCTTAAAATAACGTGGAACAAAAATCAACCTTAAGTTAAACAGAATGAGATCCCATAGTCGACACCAACATCCAATATTGGCTAAGCCTCTGTGGGGCGAATAATTAAAGTAATTCTACAAAATGTCAATAACCCTTTTTGTTCCCTCTGCCAACTTAATTTTCCTACACATTTTTGATTGTGTAGTTTTCTATGGCTGCAATTGTAATTTCAGTTTTGTGTTTCAAGTCACAAATCGTCTCTGTATGGTTGGCGCATCCTCAAGTCTTATAGGCGACTTTAGATCGCTCAACTGGAAGGCATGTTATTCCACTTTCGAATTTCGTGCGTAATTTTTATTCATTTCCGAACTCAATGTGGAAAAAAAGTTGTTAAAGGCCAGCGATGCCCGTACGGATGTAAAAAGAGGCTAGAGGTCTTATGCATTGGGGTAGCACAACGATAGTCATTGTTATAAGTTAATCTCATTTGCTACCTCAGCAAAATTATACAGGAAGCCTTTAGATGGAATGCAACCGCTCCTTGCATTCTACTTAACGGTTGCGTAAGGTAGGAGTGGTACCTTCAATCGACGACCGCTTACGACCATCCACGAAGGTTTCAAGTCACAATTGAAAATAGTGGATGACACAGCAGCATGCGACCCACCAGCGGGACTTGCAACATCTACACGAACTGATGAAAATGGTTTGTGAATTAGATGCCGAAATCTATAGCGCGTAAGTAGTTCTCCTACAACAATTCAAGCTCCAAGAATACTACAGAGTTTTACATGCGGAAGTTATTGTAGTTGGAAAAACTGCTGAAATAGCTCACAATGAAGGAAACCAAATAAAAAGATATCATTAAATACGTTCATAGCCAAGCGCCTATTAAGGCAATAATATCACATTTTATTGCGTCAGAAACTGTCTTTAGAAGCAGGGAGGCTATCGATGTGGTGGCTGCATACAAGTGTCTGCATATATTTATAATAGATGCCATGCCATGAAGGCATTTCGGGAAGTAAAATATTCGATGAGGTTGCCATCACCCTGCCGGACCCATACAGGAAATACGCTATTTCCAAAAGGGCTAGCAGACAAATCAAGGTAATAAGGATTGTCTTGCAATATGCAGGATCAACAAGATCATGTGCAATAGCACCCAAACCGATTTTATCCATACGCAGTCTAGACAAGAATTCAGAACAGCTGTTGGCCTATCGGCAAGTCACAACACACTTGCATCACGCGCAAGCAGCATGGCTATTGGAGACAGTGACAGGGAAGTAGTCGCAAATGAGACACATGAACACCACCTCTGCTCAATAGCTAGAACCCATCTCAGATATCACGAAGATTCGCAATTCACAGATTCACAGTGACAATCACTTCAGCTTGAACTAAACTGAGCTGGATTGTTAACTACTTACCTTTTGGAAAAGATCATTTGACTGTGAAGCGATGCTGATCGCAGATCACCCAAAAATTCAATGTCCCAACTACAACCAGCAAAATAATTATACGAAACAGCATTAATCTCAAATATCTCGATTTAGAAATCATCCACAGTTAAATCGAGTTATTTCATTATTCCATATATCAACTCAACACCAACAACATAACAACTAATACAGCGTAAAGGAAACTCAAATAAAGTGCAATTAAAATGTATTGCAAATAAAGCCATGGGGCTATCCATTTTGCCATTTCGAAAAGAAACCTAAGTCAAATGCATATAAAACAGTTATTAAGCTTTGTTTAAAATGAAACTACTTTTACGTTATAAAGTTTAAACCTTGAAAAAATACATCATTCAACTGAGCGTTTCGCGAATTTTCGCAAACTTCGATCAGTTAGAGTTAGCTTTTGACCATTTTTAGGCATATATAAGGCGTTTTGTGTGGCATGCGGCACCAATTTGTTGAAACCACATATTGTCCCAATCGTGTTCTTCTTTAGGTCAAAAAACGTCGGTTGTTATAGGACCACAACGCCCCGAATTAACAGTGACAATCTCGCCGTCACACCCGTGGTGCCAAAAAAGAGCAGCAGACAGTAAGGCCTTTTGGGTATAATGGCCTTTCTTGAAATGTTTGAAGATTCTCGGCGCCTAAGAAGCCTCGCACGCTCTTGGGAACGTCAAGAAATAGATACTTTTGGAATCATTAAAGGGATAACCCTATATTTCCATTTTAGCATTAGATGGGGAGCGAAGTAAAAGCTGGTAAAATATTAAAACAACAACAGCATTCATTTGAGCACACATTCGTCGTTTGTTATTTAAATTCATACGAATTTGCTTATTTGCCTATTTTTTATTTACTTGCTGTTCTTCATATTTGCACTTATATTTATGCTTAAGCCAACACATGCACACACACACATGTATTGTATATATTTATGCGCATATGTATAAATGCATCACATGCTTGAGTGGCGAACTCAATTAGCCAACGATGTGGCAGCAACTGCAGTTGAGCAACTTTCAAAGCTCAAAAATGTTTAAATGGGGTTTGCAAGCAAAGCATAACTTTATTGTGTTTATGTATTGTACTTGTATCTATGTATGCATGTTTGAATGTATGTATGTGTATATGTATAGGAAATAAGTATAAATGAACATAAACATTTGTATATACACACAAGCACAGGCCAGTTAGTAAGAGTTCCTGTGGGTCTATTTCCTCCTATTGCCGCTTCTGCCAACTAACTGACCATTTCGAGGGCGGTTTGAGTGTTGTTGGCAAAAAGTTGAAAACTTTCATAAAGTGTTGTTTGATTTTCGCATTGTGGAAAGAACAACAACTAGTTTTAAACTCACGCTATTGCAAGCGTAAATACAATTTTTAAACAATAAGCTTTCCATTGCGTTGCTAACAAATAAGCGTGTACATATGTATGCATGTGTATGTACGCTTATAGGCCAAAGGGAGTTTATTGAATAAATAACCAAAAAAAAGAAAAAAAAAATAACAACTTATTTCCAGGAAATGTTCGTATTTACATATAAAACCGCATTCGTAAATAAAATGTACATAAAAACAACAATGAAGCGGTTAATTTAAAAGTACTGAAAAAAATTCATAAAATAAGAGTTAATAATAATAATTTCCTCAGTAACAACAAGGTAATCAATGTTAAAATATAATTCTTTTTTATTGTGAGCAAAACATTCAGGAAAGTTGTAGAATGCTTTTGCATAGCTACAAGCAATTTATATAATTGTAGTTAATGTTTTTTTTTTCAAATTTCTATATAAATACTATATGTGTATACGTGTACAAAGAGGATATATGTCGGTTATGGGCACCTTTCCGTTTCCTTTTTGGTTCATAATATTTTGTATGTATACCAATGTGAAGTTAGCGCTAGCCAACTTTAGGCTTCTTCTAGCTGAGAAAATTTCAAATATTTAATGAAG